CCTTTGAGGGCTGTCCACCTTATTCTGTGTCATCCACAGAGATTCTTCTGATCCATGACAGGACATTGCTGCAAGACAACGATGCCCTTGTTGTTTGTGCCTCCTCAAGCTGCTCTGCTTGCTGAGCATGCTCTCTGGGCTCCCCGTCAAGAAAATCTTTCGGCTACTCATTCTGCGGAACACCGGGTTCAGGATGTTCAGTTCCCCCTTTCTAGTTCGGTCATCGTCCTTGATGACATCTGCGCGACGCTGAGGGCGTCTCACCATTTATTAATTGACGGTGCCCGAGTGGTGTGACTGGAAGTGCAGGCAGCCACGGGGTTTTTTGTTCTGCTGCACCGATGTTCTGAACATGTTGACGTCCCTCTCAACTATACGTCTAGAAACGGTGGCTTGTCATTGTCCTCGCGTTCCACAGTGGACCGGATGAACGATCGCGAGCTATTGAGGTGGTCGATGCGTGTCGTTGTGTCTTCCTCGTGTTACTTCAACGCTAGGGGATGAAGATGTTGCCGACGCATCGCAGCGATGCTGACGATTTGAGCTGATGCGGTTTCAGCTGTGCTTGCCCCTGATCGGATCCTCCCGGGTCCTCGTGGTGTTCCAGGCCTGGGCGTCCATCAGCTCGATGGAGCACCACCTGGAGGAGCGGCGACATAGTGCCCTCTACCGTCTGAACGCCGCACAACTGGCCGCCTTCCTCACCGCCGCCCTCCCCACGGAGTGTGACGTCACTGAGGACGTCATACTCACTATGTGCGCCGTGCTGGACACCAATGCCTTCGAGGTGAGTGACATCACGTTTAGCAGCGATATGTTTCGATACCGAGATGCCCAAGATGCGTGACGCTACTCTGGTCATGCGCACTGTGCAAGGCCTGAGGCCGTCGAGACCTTCGGGCTCACCCCTGCCACCAAGTTGTCGTGGGCGGGGTTTTGCAATGGCACGTGCCTTGCGACACGTTTGCAGGTGTCACGTGACCGTGTGACATCTATTCAGGTGCGGATCGGCTCGGCCAAGGCACGTGCAGTGGGGCGGCCTCCCTGCAGAACCACGACTGTCGGCCCAACACGCGGCACTTGTTCGACGACGGCTACAACATCACCGTCCGCGCTACCGTCCAGGATCGCGGCCGGTCAGCGGATCACCACCAGCTCACACGCAGGCACTCTGGAGTGAGCAGGAGTGTGAGCTGGAGGTTATAAAGTCGGGCGCTATGAGTTAGTAAGATTGTGAGGTCAAGATGCAAGGTTATAAATCGGGCGCTATGGAGCTAGTAAGATTGTGAGGTCAAGGTCATACAGCCGGGAGCTGTTGAGTGAGCAGGAGTGTGAGCTGAAGGTCATCAAGTCGGGCACTGTAGAGCGAGTAGGAGTTAGGGGCGAAAGAGATGGTGTCAGGTATTTTAGAGTGAGTGGAAGGGAGAAGCGGGGAACGTCGATTCAAGTGCTGCGCAGCAGAGGCGGAGAGGCTTGGTAAGCCTCTCCGTCTCTGCCCATGGGTGAGTGAGACAAAGGCCTCTTCTGGTAAAACGCCCACGCACGACCCAGAACATCACCGCGTTCGGCCGGGTCACTTGGACGGGCACTGTTCCATTCATTTTATTTGCCTTCGAGATGACAGATGACTTTTCAGCCCTATAAATCAACTGACCTACTTTTTCAACTTACCACAACGCGCAATC